AAGTCCACAGGTCTGAAAGTCGACAAATTTGGAGAGCCCCTTGGTGGGTTCAATTAGGCACCCATATCTTCTTTTCTTTCTTTGTTTTTTTTTCCTGTAGTTTTTTTTTTAGCCTTCTACACAATCTCTCACCCACATATCTTTCTGCATAAATCACGCCGTTTCCCCAGATATTTCAGATCCTTTATCTTTCTGCTTAATGAGATTAATTATATTAAGAGATTTGTGTCTCCTCGGTGGCATTTTGTAACTTATGGCCAGAGAATGGGAGCCTTTATTTAATTATTTTAAAATCTTCTTGAGTTTAGCTTTAGACGGGAGGGAATTATGAGGATTTACCCACAGGTAGCAAGCGCCTGGGGAGGTATCTAGCTGATGGAGCCTCCTTATCCAGAGGCAGTGTATCTTATTGCAGTTTAGCAGAACATAAAGCTGTGATTCTTTGTTCCGTGTATGGATTTCTCACTGGGGCCAGAATCTCCCACTTTTAGACATCTTTGGGATTTTGAAATATATATATCCAGAGCAAAACCATTGCATAAAAGGCTTGGCATTCACAGATTGATTTCCCGTGGGGCATACCAGTAGTCCTTGACTTACAACAGTTCGTTTAGGGACCGTTTGAAGTTACAAGGGCACTGAAAAAAAGTGATTAAGGACCGTTTTTCACACTTAACGACCGTTGTAGTAGGATAGCAAACATTAACGGGGAAACCGGATTCGCTAAAGAACCGTGTGACCCACTTAACAGCTGTAGCGATTCTCTTAACAACGGTGGCAAGATAGGTTGTAAAATGGGGCAAGCTTAACAACAGTCTCACTTAGCAACATAAATTTTGGGCTCAATTGTGGTCATTAAGTCAAGGGCTACCTATAACTTTTTTTAAAAAACAAACCCACTAATCTATTTTAATTTGCTGCTCCACCCGTTTTCTCCGCAAAGCAACACGGACATTTTCAAGCAACCCCAAATGTTGGTATTCATGGGGCGTAATTGGGGTTCCCTGTTGATCAGGGGCATTAACATTTGCAAATAAAGGAGCAGAATCCATCTGTGGCCTGCTCCAGCTTAGTGAGTTTCTTCATCAGCTCATCAAATCTGTTGATGCCTTGTGATAAAATTTGTGGGTCGGAAAAGATGGTTCCTGACATGTTTATATGTGTATATGCATACATTTATGTTTATGTATGTATTATGTGTGTATGTGTGTGTATGTAAGTTTATATATATATAAATGTTTATGTTTATGTATGTGTATATATATATATTTGTGAGTGTATCTGTGTATCGGGGTGTGTGTGTGTGTGTGTGTGTGTATTTTCTGAGGTTTTCGTGGGTGTTTGTATGTAGGTCTTTGGTTATTCGGGTTTTCTCCCGCGTAAAATTGGAAGTATCTTGGCGACATTTCAACGAAGTCTCATTCATAATCTTCAGGCTGGTGTTTTCGGCTTCGTGCTTCTAGGAGCAATGTGTGATCGTATATATATAATTATTTTAAAATTTTAAGTTCCGGAGCTCGCAGAAAGTCTGCTTCTTTCTTTACTAATATACCTGGAACTCGTATTTTTAGAATAGTTTGTTTTATGTGTGTGTGTGTGTGTGTGTGTGTGTGTGTACCGTGTTTTCCCAAAAATAAGACCTACCCCAAAAGTAAGTCCTAGCTTGATTTTTACCCATAGACCCAATATAAGCCCTACCCCCAAAATAAGCCCTAATTAACACCCACTTAAGGAAGAATGCTTTTATGTCTACTAACAACCCTTCTCCTTAATCCCCTCTCCTACTTTCTCACACATGAGAAGGTGGCAGCATTGAAGCTTCCGGCCTTATATGTCTTCCAAAGCTGACACAAACATTCATTTAGTGACCATGGGGAGAAAAAAAGGCCGTAAAACCAGGCATGACTTACTTCGCAACCACCTTGCCTTGGAAATCCTTGTGCCGCTTGTGGTCGTAAACCGAGGACTACCTGAAGTATCATCTGAAATGCACATTTTAAAAGCAAAACCTTTTGGTGTTAAATTATGTCTGTGTTTTTAGTTATCCAAGTGCAACCTTATCGAATTCGGCTTCTGTTAATGCCATTAAATTCTCCTTCCTATATGACTTTCCCCATAAATTGATTAAATTACCTCTCGGGAAGTTGATACGCCGCCTTATCTGATGCTTGTTCTTCCTGCCATCTTGGTCCCTCCCCACTTTCTTCCCTCCCCCCCTCCCATCTCTCCGTAGCTTCTCCTGGCTTCTATTTTATCTGTTCTTAATGGAGCTTCACATTGATCGATCAGTTGTGTTGTGGTCCTGACGTCTTCACCGATACGATCACGGCTGAGTACGCTTAAAATTCAGACCTCGGCGCTGGCCGTCTCTCGGAAGCCGAGTTTGTGGCTTCCAGTAGAACATATCTCTCGGTAGAAATCTCTCTCTGGAAATGTCACGACCCCAAGGAAGGAGCAAAGGCTGACCCAGAAGACTAGAGAATAGAATAATAGAGTAGAATAGGGTAGGGTCCCAACTCCCAAGGGACTCTGGGCGGCTTACAACGGAGAATAAAACAACGCAACAATATCCCATACAAAAGTTAAAAGAAGACATTAAAACGTTAAAACACATACGCTCCAATTTGTGGCCGGGTCTCTTAAGATCACTATAACGAGATCGACGGCCTCAAAAGTTAGTGAGTTCTAGTCAAACTTTAGGCATGAAAGCTGGCTGGGTGACTTGGGGCCAATCACCAGGAGATGGTGAGTTCTAGTCCTGTTTTAGGCAGGAAAGCTGGCTTGGTGCCTTGGGTCCAATCACCAGGCGACAGTGAGTTCTAGTCCTGTCTTAGGCATGAAAGCCAACTGAGTGACTTTGGGCCAGTCTCTTTCTCTCTCGGCCCAACCCACCTCACAGGGGGTTGTTACCAGAGGTGGGCTTCAAAAATTTTAGCAAGAGGTTCTCTGTCCTGTTGCTGGGTAAGCATGGCCATAGTGGGCGTGGCCTAGTTGGCCACTGCACCACAGTGTGGGAGGGGCATTCTCACCCCCCAAGCTCCGGAGGGTTTCCTCGAGCCTCCGGGAGGGTGAAAACGGCCTCCCCAGGCTCCGGAGGCCCTCTGGAGGCCGGAAACAGGCCTGTTTCCGACCTTCCAGAACTTCCAGTAGGCCCATTTTTCGCCCTTCCTGAGCCTCCATGCGCACCCTGCACTTACCTGCATCCAAAACGGGCCACGTGGGGATTCCTGGGAGGGGCGGGGCAGGGTGGGGTTGGCCAGCCAGGAGTGGGATTTGGGGGTTCTCCGAACTGCACAGAATCTTAGCTAGAGGTTCTCCCGAACCCCTGCAAACCCCCAGCAGCCCCACCTCTGGTTGTTACTGTGAGGAAAATAGAAGGAGGAAGGCGTACTTAAAACGTACGTCACCTTGACTTTAAAAAAAAAAAAATATCAAAATAAATAAATTCAATTTTTTAAAAAAACCAAAAACTAATGCAAACAGAAAGCGAGCCAAACGGCAAATATTCCCCTCTCCTCATCCAGGAAGCAACCGCTGCTGCTAATCTACAATTCTTTTTCAATCTCTTTGCTTCCTTTTGAAAAGCTGCTGGTTTTGCTTAACAAGGGAGACCGCGGAGAGAAGAAGAATGGAGCTACGCTTCCAATTTCATTTCACAGAATGCAAGGCATTTCTTTAAAAAAAAAAAAAAACCACACATATAAAATGAAACAGGCATGTCGTTTATCTTATGATCTACCCCAACTCAGAGCCCTCCATTTCTCCCCCCCTTGCAGTTCTGGCCTCAAAGAAAGAAAAGAAAAGAAAAAAAAGTGATAAGAAAGCACATTGTTAGAGAGGAGATAATGGAAAGGGTCCCCCACTATTCTTGTTAAATCAGTGTAATTAGGTTGGCTACCATGAGATAGACAAGTTGGTCAGACCTTCAGAAGGTAACAATAATTTAAAAAGCACAAACGCTTTTCTTCTTCGACATGAAATTATGCTTAGCATCTCTTATCTGACTCTGGCTCCAAATATATGTTTATAAAGGAAGGTTACCCTGCTTGTAGTTGGCACAAATACTATATATTTACAAAGGAAGGATACCCAGCTTGTAGTTGATGCATACACACACATGTACATATATGTATATGTATAGGGTTGCGGTGGCTCAGGGGCTAAGACACTGAGCTTGTCGAACGAAAGGTCGGCAGTTCAGCGGTTCGAATCCCTAGTGCTACGTAACGGGGTGAGCTCCTGTGACTTGTCCCAGCTTCTGCCAACCTAGCAGTTCGAAAGCACATAAAAAGTGCAAGTAGAAAAAGAGGGGCCACCTTTGGTGGGAAGGGAACAGCGTTCCGTGCGCCTTTGGCGTTGAGTGATGCCGGCCACACGATTACGGAGACGTCTTCGGACAGCGCGGGCTCTTCGGCTTTGAAACGGAGATGAGCACTGCCCCCTAGAGTCGGGAACGACTAGCACAAGCACATATGTGCGAGGGGAACCTTTACCTTTATGCATGTATAAAGAAAGGATGCTCTGCTTGTAGTTGGCACAAATATATATTTAAAAGAGGTTACCTTGTTTGTAAATGGCACAAATATATATATTTATAAAGGACGAATACTCTGCTCATAGACGGGACAAATATATATTTATAAAGAAAGGATACCCTGCTTATGATCAGGGGCGGGATTCAAAAACTTTAGCAACCGGTTCTCTGCCCAGTTGCTGGGTGGGTGTGGCCATGGTGGGCGTGGCCTACTCAGCCTCCTGCACCACAGTGGGGGGGAGCGTTTTCACCCTCCCCAAGCTCTGGAGGCTTTCCTTGAGCCTCCAGGAGGTCGAAAACAGCCTCCCCCGGGCTCCGGAGGCCCTCCAGAGGCAGAAACAGGCCCATTTCTGGACTTCCAGACAGCCTATTTTTCGCCCTCCCAGCGCCTCCGTGCGGGCGCTGCACTTACCTAGCATCTAAAACGGGCTGCGTGGAGACTCCTGGGAGGGGAGGGGCAGGGTGAGGAGGACCAGTTAGTTCTTGCAACTACCGGTTTGGCGAACCAGATGTAAAATTAGCATCCAGTTCGCCTGAACTGGTCTGAACCGACGGAATCCTATCCCTGCTTATGATGGAACAAATATACTGTATATATTTATAAAGAAAGGATAACCTGCTTGTAGAGGACACAAATATATATTTAAGGAAGAGGGGGAGGAGGATTGAGGGGTCCATGGTACTGAGTTTGAGGGTTTCCTTGCAGATTTCATTACCAAACTAAGTATCGTCATCGCAACCACCCTTCAAATCAATGGTGCCTTCAGAACACTTCCAAAAACTTACAACCAGGGAGGGGTTTGGGCTGGAAAAGGCCCCAGGATTTCCACTTCGTCTTCGTTGGACTGGCAACAGCTGCACTCGTAGCACTTCTGACAACAATTGCGACAGGTCCATCGGCACAGCAAGAGATCCGAGATTCTAGACAACAGGCCCTGAGGCCGTTGGAAACCAGAAAGCAAAATTACAACCAGCTGATGACGAGCAAGGATAAACAATGGTAATTGAACAAGGCAGATCCCAGGAGGATTCAGCTCTGTGGGTTGTTGTTTTGTTTTTTTTTTAACATCTGTGCAATCACAGATCTACATTTGCGCTTATTCTGCTTTGGTCAACTTGGACCTTTCTGGGTATTGATGGATGATGGGCTATCAAGTCTTTTTTGACCCCTCGTGATCACAGAGATAGATTTTCCTCCGCAACTTCTGGATTACTGGACATCAAATCTATCACCCATGAAAACTGGGAATTATGCGAGTCGGTGTCCAAAATTTCCAGCAAGAACCAAGGAGAGGGAAATGGGTATGAAAACCACAATAGGATTCTTTTTTTTTTTTCTGGTTCCTAAACCATGGTTTAGGGCCGTGATGGCGAATCTATGACATGCATGCCAGAGGTGGCACATAGAGCCCTCTCTGTGGGCACGCATGCCGTCGCCCCAGCTGAGAGCCCTTGTTGTGGTCCGCCAGCAGCCTGCGGAGCTAGCAGTAGAGTCAGACAGTGAGGAGGCTGGGGAGGACTATGGACCAGTCCTGGAGCCTGGGGAAGGCCCGGATGAGGGCTATGCGTCAGAGGCAGAGAGGGGGCCACCCTGGAAATAGCGAAGGATCGCCCCATGGTGCCTCTGCCAGCAGAAACAGAGCTCAGGGAGGCCGCGCAAGCTCCATTTTCACTGGCAGAGAGTTGCAGGAAGCTGTCGCGGCTGAAAACTGAGCCTCGATGTGTGATGCCGAGCTGGCCATGCCCCCTCCTGGCCATGCCCTCCCCGGTCGCCCGAGGTCAAAGACAACCCTGATGCAGCCTTCAATGAAATACAGTTTGACCAGTGGTGAAATCCAATTTTTTTTTACTACCGGTTCTGTGGGCGTGGCTTGGTGGGCATGATGTGGCTTAGTCGGCGTATCAGGGGAAGGATACTGCAAAATCTCCATTCCCACCCCACTGCTGGGGAAGGATACTGCAAAATCCCCATTCCTCCCCACTCTGGGGCCAGCCAGAGGTGGTATTTGCCGGTTCTCCGAACTACTCAAAATTTCCGCTACCAGTTCTCCGAACTGCTCAAAATTTCCGCTACCGGTTCTCCAGAACCTGTCAGAAGTTGCTGGATTTCACCCCTGAGTTTGACACCCCTGATTTAGCATAATGTTTGTTCAAACTGTAGACCAAGTTCAAACAACATGCTAAGCTAGGGATGTCCAACCTTCAACAAATTTGAAGACCTGTGCACTTCAACTCCCAGAATTCCCCAGCCAGCTAGGCTGGACCTCGAGTTTTTCTTGCAAACGTACACTCTTGTAAAACTGTAAAGAATGCACAAGTCAACATGTTTTGCAAACCCTCTGCTCGGAATGGAAGATGCGGAAGAGGAATAAAGGTAGATAAATAAATAAAAATCCTAATTCAATGAGAAGATTCCAAAGTTTGCTCACAGAGAAAAGCCCATTGTTTCCACTTCACTAAGCAAGCCAATAAAATATATGCCAAGCTGGAAGAATCTCGGCCCTTTACTGTGAGCGGAATTGAGGGGAATTTAAACCTTGCTGTACATTTTTATAATCCGTGTAGTCTTCGGGGATCGGAGCAAGCGTTTAAAAAAAGAGAGGGTAGCTTTCATGCTTTGAAAGCCGTGCGAGTGGATCTAATCACGAAGAAAAGGTCAGCCGCTTCTGAACTTTTCAAAGCAAAGACCACATCAGAGGGAAAGTAGGGTGTTGAACATCATGCGTCAAGGGAAGGGTAAAGCAAAAATAAAGTCCAGGTTTTAGAGAAGCAAATCACAATTGGCCAAACCGGTGGGGGTGGGTAGGTGTTTTTCCCCTCAGTTTTTTGGTTTAGTTTTTGTGTCTGTTCAATTTTGCATTTTGGATTTTAATCTTTTCCATAAAATAAAAAAAGAAATCGAATGAGAACAATTGGCCAAACACTAAAGCTATGAAAGCAGTTGATAATGAATCAGGACCCTGGACAGCTCTGGAAAGATCCACAATGGGACCCCAACCACTGAAATGTTGCCTCGGCCACAAACTTAAGATTTTAAATCTAGTTGCATTAGAGGTCCAATAGGTGTTTCCAAAAGAAATCTCATCAATTAAAAGGATGTTACTCATTCCAAAATCTTTGGCATCCACAAGACCAAAAACATCATGGGTTCCGACGGATGCCCTAATTAAATCATGAGTCTCGAGCCAAGCTTCAAAAGAAATCCAGTTATTAGGAGCTTCATGTCTCCACGTTCCCAAGTGAAACCAGCTCTGACCCTACATAATTTACACTCCAATTATGACCCTGTTTTCCCCCCTCCCCCCAGGGTGTGTTATCAATCACATTCGCCAACAGAGCAATTTTGCGGGTTGTAGAGGTCACTCCCCTGGGTGGCTGTAGGTAAGCCTGGGATACAGCCTTGAGAGAGATATGCGTGGAATGTGCATGTGTCTTTGGCTGCTGTGCCATTTTGCCTGTTTCCCATCCCTCCTGGCCTATGGCAACTTGAGAGCAGGCCAGGAATGCTTTGTGAGTTGACCCATCACATCTCTCTAGGACTTCTCAAGTTTGAAGTCAGAGAAGAGCAATAGATCAGAGACGTAAATATGTATACCGGGAGTGAGCATGTCAGCGTTCCAGAAAACCCCAACTCCAATCAAAAACTCCGAGGCTATGTCAACTTCAATTCCCAGAATTCCTGAGCCAGCCATGCTAAGGAATTCTGGGTCTGGACCATGCTGGCTCGGGAATTCTGGGAGTTGAAGTCCACAGGCTGTAAAATTGACATAGATGCCTACTCCGATGTATATATAGTGGTGAAGGAGGAAAGCAGGTTGACTCAGCCTTCCGTCCTTTCTAAGGTAGGTAAATTGAGGACCCAGTTTGTGGGGGCAATAAGTTGACTTTGCATAAATATACAAAAGGATGAAGGCTATTGCTTAACGCATTGTAAGCCGCCCTGAGTCTCTGGAGAAGGGCGGCATATAAATCAAATTTAAAAAAAAAAAAAAAGCAGCTGGACCAGGTGTTAATTCCCTACTGTAGCAGGGAATAACCTGCAAATATAAACATGAACCTTTGTATACAGAATAATTCCCAGCTTATATCTTACATCTTCTGCTGGCCAGCTGCAATTGTAGAGGTAGCCCTTGACTTATGACAATACAGCCCAGAATTTCCATTGCTAAGCAAGGCAGTTAAGTGAGTCACGTCCTGTTTAATGACCTGTTTTCCCACGGTTGTTCAACAAAACACTGTATTTGAGTGAATCATGTAGTCACTAAGGGAATCTGGCTTTGCCTGTCGGAAGCCAAGTTGGGAAGATTTCAGACAGCGATCACATAACTCTGGAACACGGCAAACATTTTAAATACATGATGATTGCCCAACGACCCCATTTTATTTTTTTTATTTTTTTAAATTTGATTTATATGCCGCCCTTCTCCAGAGACTCAGGGCGTCTTACAATGCGTTAAGCAATAGCCTTCATCCTTTTGTATATTTATACAAAGTCAGCTTATTGCCCCCACAAACTGGGTCCTCAATTTACCTACCTTAGAAAGGATGGAAGGCTGAGTCAACCTTGAGCCTGGGGAGATTCGAACTTGCAATAATTGCAGGCAGCTGAATGTTAATAACAGGCTATTAGTCTGCTGCGCCACCAGGCTCTTTTTGATCATGTGACTGTGGGGAAATGCTATGACGGTTGTAAGTGCGAGGACTGGCGCTTTTTCCGGTACTGTTATAAGTTCGAATGGTCAGTAGAGGAATGGTTCTAAGTCAAGGACTACCTGTCCCTCAAAAGAGATCATCCGAGCCAAGCAACAAGGGATTCCCAATTCTCTCCCATAACATGAGGACTAGAAATTTTGTTCGACGGCGGACAGGCAGCAGATGGAATGATCTGCAGCCAAACCAATCAAAACCAACCAGCCAGAGTTTTCCTCGAGGTGTAAGAAAAACAAACAAACAAACCTCGCTGTTTAGTCACAAGAAACCAAGGTGTGTTTTTAACCCACACAATTTTGCACCAGAAAGCGTAGAGAGCCAGACAGGAAAAAAAACAAAAAACAACGACAACAACACACAACTCCACACGACGGGTCTCGTTCTCTGAGTGTCAGGAGAAAGGATGACTCATCAGATTAACTCACCTCATTTATCGGTTCCAACTGTCCTTTTCGATATCCAGGATGAAGCAAAGGGAGAGAAAATGAAAAAAAAAAAAAGACGAGACCACTTTAGTAAAAATTTAATGGTTTCTTTCCCTCCCCGCCCTCACATCTGTGAGACAAAATACACAACTGTGGGCCTTCGCTTTCCTTTCTAGCAGAGGGCGGAAAATGTTGAGATCTCTCTAATTTTAGGGCAGGTTAAAAAACAAGGGATCTCCAGGAAGGGATATTCAATTGCTAATATAAATTTTCCTCAATGGGCTTACTATTTTGGTCCCTTTGCAAAAAAAAAAAAAAGAAAGAAAGAAAAAAAGAGCTCTTTATAAATCTCTCTGTAATTCAGGCTATTATACAAGAAGTGCTTGATTTATGACCATAAAGGTAAAAGTTCCCCTCGCACATATGTGCTGGTTGTTCCTGACTCTAGGGGGCAGTGCTCATCTCTGTTTCAAAGCCAAAGAGCCAGCGCTGTCCGAAGACGTCTCCGTGGTCATGTGGCCGGCATGACTCAACGCCAAAGGCGCACGGAACGCGGTTCCCTTCCCACCAAAGGTGGTCCCTCTTTTTCTACTTGCATTTTTTACCTGCTTTCAAACTGCTAGGTTGGCAGAAGCTGGGACAAGTCACAGGAGCTCACCCCGTTACACAGCACTAGGGATTCGAACACTGAACTGCCGGCCTTTCGATCGACAAGCTCAGCAACTTCACCACTGAGCTACCGCATCCCTTTTCTTACGACCAGAATTGAGCCCCAAATTTATGTTGCGAAATGAGAGACAGTTGTGTTAAGTGAGTTTCGCCGCCATTTTGCACACTTCCTTGCCGCCGTGGTTAAGCCCAGGGAATCACTGCCATTGTGAAGTTAGCAATATAGTTGTTAAACGAATCTGGCTTCCCCACGGACTTCGCTTGTCGGAAGGTTGCGGAAAGGGGATCACATGATCCCGGGGACGCTACAACCGTCACAAATACAGGTCAGTTGTCGAGCATCTGAATTTTGATCACGTGACCATGGGGATGCTGCAATGGCCATAAGTGTTCTGCCCCAGCTACGGACCCCAAAGAACGCAGCACACACAATTTAATTTAATTTACTAAGTTAAATCAATCTTTTCCAAATAAAGGCTGTTAATTAACTTTCTTAACAGTCTACAAGAATCCAAAGAATAAGTAATCGTAATCTTACTATGGTTGGCAGAAAGACCAGAAGCAATTTGCAGAGAAACCAGACGTGAAGAAGAGTGAACTAAAGTTGTTCCCTGCAAATTGCTTCAGTTGGCATTCCTCCTTAAATAGGCTAAGGGAGTGGCCAATTAGCCCCAAGCCTTACTCTCAAAGAGACCTCCTCCTGAGGAGCCACTCCTGCCTTTTGGCAGCTCTGCGCGCCCGTGAATCGAGAAGAGGCTCCTCGTCGTCTTCCTCTTCACTCATGGAAGCTTCTGGAAGTTCTGAAGGCCTTGGCTGAATCCCCGCCTCTGGCACATCATCTTCTCCAGCCTCCTCATTGTCCGACTTGAGTGCCAGCTGCACAGGCTACTGGCGCAGCACCACACCAGCCTCCTTGCTGTCGGAATCATCTACTAGCGCCACAGGCCGCTGACGGGCCACAACAATAAGTGTGAAAACTCATAAGTCATTGTTTTAGTGCCACTGTCAGTTCCAAATAGTTACTAAATGAATGATTGTAAATCAAGGATTATTTTTACGCTACAATTCTGACATGATAGAAGATCAGTTATTTTTTTTTACATGACTAAACCCAACATTTTCTAGGAATGGCTGGAAATTCCGTCCTGAAATCCTGGCATGGAATCAATCCAAGGAATATTAGATTAAATGATTCATTTAAAAAACATCCATTCAGTTGGTTAGAATAGGGCACTGATGGTGAACCTTTTCGGCACCGGGTGCCCAAATTGGAATGCGCGTGCATGCTGGTTTTTTAGCCAGTTTCAGGCTGTTTTTTGGGCTGTTTTCAGGCCATTTTTGGCATGAAAAACAGCCCCCAAACCACCTGAAAATAGCCCAAAAAACGACCTAAAAACAGCCAGGAAAATGGCCTTTTTTGGCCATTTTTTTGGCCGTTTTCTGGTGCTGCGGTGCCCGTGAAGACCAGCTGTCCAGCACGCATGTGAGTGCCAGAAATTAGAAGAGCAGCTGGTGATGGCACATGTGCCCACAGAGAGGACTCTGTGTGCCACCTCTGCCACGCGTGCCATAGATTCGCCATCACGGGAATAGGGGATTAGAGCCAGTAGGATTGGCATGGATGGACTTATTTAGTGGTCTAGACTTAGAAACCGGTAATCCAAATTAAGAGATCTGGTTCAGTGTATCTCTGATTCTAAAGATTTCTGGTTGCAGTGGGATCCAAGGGACATCTTCCAAAAGACTTGTTTTGTGAAATAATTCGGAGTTTTCTGGGCATCGAACAGCTGTTCAGGGGCCAAACAGGGCTCCTCCTCTCCTGCAACAGACCGTTTCTAAACACCGATACTTCTGCTCAGAGTTGCCCAAGGCACGTAGCCAAAATGTGGGCCTGTACGGAGATTCTCAAACTTTGCAGTAGACGTACCCCCAAAATTAAAGGGAACACCGTATGCAGAATTCATCTTCTTTTGATGCTCTCTGGGTGGTTTTCTTGCAGGTGTTTCATTCATGATGTTACCTAGTTTGGGTAATGAAACTTCTGCAAGCTCAGAGAACAGCAAGAACCCCACAATCCTTCCCTTTTCCCCCCTCTTCCCTTCTAGCCCTGATGATGTTACCTAGTTGGGTCATAAAACGTCTGCGAGAAAACCACCAAGCTCAGAGAACACCAAGGACCCCATAGTCCTCTTCCTTCGGTCCTCTTCCTCCCCTTCTCTTCCTCTCCTTTTCCTCTCCTCTCCTCCTTTTCCTCCTCTTCCTTCTCTTCCTCCTCCTCCTCCTCTTCTCTTCCTCTTCTCCTTCTCCATCCACAAAACCCACTCCCTTCTAGCCCTGATGATGTTATCTAGTTGGGTCATGAAATGTCTGCAAGAAAACCACCAAGCTCAGAGAGCATCAAGGACACCAAAATCCTCCTCCTCCTCCAACCCTCCTTCTAGCCCTGATGATATTACCTAGTTGGGTCATAAAACGTCTGCAAGAAAACCACCAAGCTCAGAGAGCACCAAGGGCCCCTCATTTCAACCCCAAGCTACAAATATTCTGCTTTGTGGAGAACACACCTTCCTCTTCTTACTTACTTTTACTTTTTTACTTTTACTTTTATTTGATTTATATACCGCCCTACTCCCGAAGGACTCAGGGCGGTGAACAGCCAACAATAAAATACATACATACAAAATTTAAAAAGCAGAAATAAAATCGAATTAAATAGTTTGGCCCAGACAAATTAAAACCCCAATCAATTTAAAACAAATTTAAACTTTTGAGTATTAAAAATATTAAAAATATTAAAATTGTTTAAAAAGAGGGAGAAAGTTAGGCCAGGCCCGCCTGGTGGAATAAAAAGGTCTTTAGAGCGCGGCGGAAGGTGCGCAGATCCAGGATCCTCCGTTATCTTCAATAATTTAATTTAATTTAATTAATTAAATTTATATGCCGCCCCTCTCCGAAGACTCAGGGCGGCTCACAATACATCAACGATAAATAAACGAAGTCAACGATTCCGTCGAGGTTAAGACGGGGCAAAGCATAACGACATCGTTTCTTTGTAATCATGACATTTTCTGAAAAACATCGCAGCTAATTCTCCAACTTTGTGGCATCATAAAGGTCCCTGCAGGCCAACAGCTGAGCTGTTCAAGCTTGCACAAACAGAAGACCAAAAGGCCTGGCGTGTGTTTTGATTGCACTCTTGTTGTGCAGTTGTAGCACGTATTCACCTAGCCACTGACATTTGCAAACAGTGGGTGACAAACCACTGCAGTCAATTCTCCAGGACTGTATAAACCAGGGGTGAAATGCTCCCGGTTCAGATTGGATCGCCCGATCCGGTAGGGAGGGCAGCGGGTAGTTCGGAGAACCGGTAGCAAAAATCCCTGCCTCCCCCCCCCCATGCCCAGCTGAGCTGCGTGATCATCGGAGGCTCTTTTTTTTTTACTTTTAAAAGCATTTTTCTACAACCTCTTCAGCCGAAAAAATGCTTTTAAAAGTAAAAAAAAAAAAAAAAAAAGTCTCTGACGATTGCGCGACTCAGCTGGGATCGTCAGAGGCTTTTAAAAGCATTTTTTCTAAACCTCTTTGGCCGAAAAAATGCTTTTAAAAGTTAAAAAAAAAAAAGTCTCTGACGATTCCGCGACTCAGCTGGGATCGTCAGAGGCTTTTAAAAGCATTTTTTCTACCTCTTCAGCCGAAAAAATGCTTTTAAAAGTAAAAAAAAAAAAAGGTCTCTGACAATCGCGCGGCTCAGCTGGGATCATCAGAGGCTTTTAAAAGCATTTTTTCTACAGAATGCGGCCGCGCAGGTTGTTACGGGAGGTTCCCGTTACTCCTGTGTAACACCTCTCCTGCGCGAGCTGCACTGGCTGCCGGTAGCCCTTCGGATCCGCTTCAAGGTGCTGGTACTTACCTATAAAGCCCTTCATGGCATGGGCCCAGAGTACTTGCAAGACCACCTCCTACCGGCCTCCCACCGCCCACTGTGCTCACATAGGACTGCTCTCCTCCGGGTGCCGTCGGCCAGACAATGTCAGCTGGCGGCCCCCAGGATGAGGGTGTTCTCTGTGGTTGCACCGACCTTCCGGAATGGGTTACCCACCGGGCTCTGGACGGCCCCCGACCTCCGCACTTTCCCCGCCGACCTGAAAACATGGCTTTTTCAGCAAATTCCCTGATCTGCCGCGAGGTTTTAATTGTCTGGGGATTTTAAATTGGCTTGTTTTAGCACTATTTTATTGTTATGTTGTTTCTATTCTGTGAGCCGCCCCGAGTCCTACGGGAGAAGGGCGGCATATAAATTTGATAAAATAAATAAATAAAATAAACCTCTTCGGCAGAAGAGGAGCCTTGGTAG